AAGAGGAACTAGGGTATGGCCTGGAGAGGGCAATCACCCCTAAACTTGCTCTGCAAGGATTCACCAGGTCCTCTATCGGAGGGCAAGAAGGGGCGTTTTCAAAACCCGCTGATGGCTGCGTATTCGCATGCCGACTCTCCTCTCCTGCGAAACGCCTCTGCCTTTCTTTCTTCTGGACTCATCCTTCTGCTCGCTATTACATACTTATGAACGCCTCTTTTTGCGCATAAGTACGGAAAAAGCATCAAGTTTGGCGTTAAAGTCATAAAAACCTGAGCAAGTGATGTATGCTTGTTTTGGCTTGAACGTATTTGATATCAGGTCATTGCGAAGAGGAAGAAGGTTTTTGAGCTAGAAGAAAAAAATCCGCACAAGAAACCGGCTTTTCTCGATCTTCTCCTTGGAATGCAGCGGGCCAATCGCCTTAGCGACGATGATATCCGAGAGGAGGTTGACACCTTCATGTTCGAAGGTCAGTACCGAACCTTATCCGTAATGCACTCCATATCAAATATTTATAAACTTTTGCCAGCAGTTATTCCCAAAACAGTTTAGTTTCAGGTCATGACACTGTCGCAAGTGCCCTCGGATACGCGTTGTTCTGCCTGGGTAACTATCCGGAAGAACAAGAGAAGCTCTTCCAAGAAGTCAAAGAAGTGATTGGTATGTTACTTGTGTTCTGTAAAGCGCCACTTTGTGTGTTACTGTATGTTAAAGCAACTTTGATTCCTTTGTAATTACTGTAATTATGTGGTTAGAGAATTCTGGATGGAGATTCTTGCTCACTGTGCCTTCCTCACTAATAAACCCTCTTTTTCCCGTTTGGAAGGAGGTGTGAACCAGGAAAAATTCGAAGATCCAACGGCCGCCTTTTCAAAAATCAACTCGACTCACCAGTACCGTGATCACATGTATTAATTGAAAAAAGCTAGTGATAATCAACAGCAATAATTGAACTAACTATCTTCTGTGCATGCTGGTTATTGCTTATAAATTACCATTCGGCTCAGCTGACGCCGGCGCGTCTCCTTCTGTGATACGGACGCAGGCGCCGGCTCGCTGCACTCTACCTCTCTTTCTAAACTATGCATTTGTCCACCAAAACCGCTAACTTTCAGCGCACGTCCCGCCCATTGGCGGGCAGCAAGGGATACAGTTGCTCTTTACATCTTGTCAATATTTGTATACCCAACTAATATCCGTTTATTGTTTTACTTGAACATGACCAACCCTCCTTTACCAATAACATCATACCTGCTACTTTCTGCACTATTACCGTGCCCGCATGCAAACGTACGAAAAGCAGGTGGCTAAGGACGAATCGTACGCGTCCCCCGGCCGGCAAGGCCCGCTCCGTAATCACAGAGGAGGCGGCGCGCGGGCGTCAGCCGGCGAACCGACTGGTATCAAATATATCAAGGACGAACTCTCGCCAGGTGTTTATCTCCGCCATGGACTTTTTTACCCACGTTTGTGGAAAGCACATCATATCCCAAACACGCCCCGCCTATTTCTGGTGCGCCTCCTCCATTTGGTCAACCCGTTGCCAACCTTATCCCACTTTTTCCCCATCTCCGGGCTGCTGTGTAGTCCAATTATGAGTTTTTCCAGTGACGCAGGAACAACCGCTCATTTCCAGTACGCGCCGCCCAGTTTGGGTGTGTTCTCCACCATTTGGTCCGTCAACCCTTTGCCAACCTTATTCCTTTTCCCCCTATCTCAGTGCTGCTCTGGAGGTGAAATAATTGGAATTAGTGAAAGTTAGCGGTTTTGGAATTTGTCCACCAAAACCGCTGACATTTCAGCGCATGCCCCGCCCACTGTTGGCGGGGCTTAGCAAGGGTTACAGATGCTCTTTTAACATTTGTCAAATCGCCCCTATCCATCCCACTTTGACCCCATCTCCCAAGGCTTCCTGTCTGGTAGAACCGATTTTCGCCGGACAGATCGCCAGAGCAAACAGACAACAAACAAACAACAATCAAACAAACAAACAGACATGGCAGATTATTTATAGTAGGTGATATAAATATTATATAATTAGGACGCTGCCAGCCACATGCCCAGTTTTGGTACCGACGCAAGTGCTGCACCTTCAGGGTAGATAGCGCGGTCGAATTTCTTGACGTAACCCGAGTATTACCACGCTCCAGCCCCGTTTCCGTGCACGTTCAGAGCGGCACATGCTACTGCACCTGTGGACCCGCTCACCTCGCACATATGTAGCGAACACAGTCCTCGGAAATGAGTGTACAGGTTGTCCCGCAGGAAAAGTTATACCTACCCTCAGGAGGGAAGATCCTTCCCTTCACAATGAGTCGGATCACCGAACCCATGCTGCTCCTCTTATAGACCGCCTCATCCTGCTCTTTGACCTTTCGGGGCCAACCTCAATTCAATGTAAAGAATTCGCAGAAATGTCGTGTAAACGAAGGTCGAAGTATCTCATAGTTCCAGAGCAGGGGGAACGGCGAGTGCGATTGCTACTTCCTTTTGTGAATCCCTGTCAGTTAACAAATCTCTCTTTTGTTCGACCTGTCAAGATTGTGAACTTTACATTAGTTCAAGTGATTCTCTTTGGTTCCATGGAGCAGTTCTTCACAAGCTGGGCTGTACAAGTTTTGCTGAATACCATTTACTGCCCCTACCAACCCGAATGACTCGCATGTGGTCGCTAGACTCTGTGGAAGCTTATGTTGAGCTGACTCCATACCGTTGAACACGCGCAGCACTTGAGCGCGGCAACTAAAAAAGCACCAAGTGAAAAAGTCTTGAAATTTAGTACAAGTCTAGTAGCTTGTAGTTTGGAGAACACCAACATCAATACTATGAGCATCTGAGTTCAGGGCCAGTGGATCGCGAACTGACTCAGGACGACCTTCTCCAGCTGAAGCAAACGGAGAAGGTACTGAAAGAAGCTCTTCGAGTATTCCCACCAGTTCCAATGATTGCTCGACGTCTTCACGAAAACGTCGATTTCGGTGAGTTCTGTTTCTGATCTACGGCGTATGTTCTACCAGCTCCTAAGAGTATTCACGGTCCCGAACATGACAAAAAAACTCGCCTGTAATAGTACAATTATTTTTTTGGCCTTCTCAAAGCTCTCTTGGCTCAGAAAACTGTCAGCAGCTCTGATTACGTCAGCCGAGAGGCCGCCGACTTATGCGACTCGCAGCCTCTCCAGCTCCG